GGCCTGCGTGGTTGGAGTCCATAATGGGGTCTTGAACACCCTCTGCTGGCTGAAATAACAAGCAGGGAATTAAAACAAATCCTGTCATGCCCAAATAAAAAAAAAAAAAAAAAAAGGAGAGAAAAATCCAGAAAATCCCCATAAAAGTTGACTTTTACCATGTTACCGTTATAACCGAGCACATGTGTCTATAGCACTAACACACACTCTTTATACCAAATAAAATCCTCCTAACGCCCGACGTATATTTGAAGTGCTTTGTTCTGATGGAGATGTGCAGACTTGGAAAATGCAGGAATTAAGTCTTTAAACTTCCATTCTCTGGCAGGCGCTTCCTGAGGCTTGGGTTGGAAAAAGGAATTGGGGCTTCTTTTTTTTTTTTTTTATTGTTATTATTATTATCATTATTTTTTTAATGCTGAAACTTTATAAAACTTCATCAGTTGCTCCTGTGCCACCGACCGGACCTCGGGGATCTTACTGCCTATGCAAACTTCTGCTCTTTGGGATTTGAACACAAAAACCCAGTGATTTTTTGCCTGTTCTCTCCAACCTCTAGCCTCTCGTCTTTGTATTTCCCTTCAGGGCTTTGTATACTTCACTGAGGTTCCCTTTTTTTAAGTTTTTCTAAATATATATATGTGTATATATATATATATACAGATTTAGTCTAAAAAAAAAAACAAACTCCCTTAATCGATACACTTGGTCTCAATAACTTGTGATTAATTTTTTTTTTTTAAGTATCCCTACGTACTTGTAAATGTCCCTCTGATTTTTTGCCTGTTCTCTCCAACCTCTAGCCTCTCGTCTTTATATTTCCCTTCAGGGCTTTGTATACTTCACTGAGGTTCCCTTTTTTTAAGTTTTTCTAAATATATATATGTGTATATATATATATATACAGATTTAGTCTAAAAAAAAAAACAAACTCCCTTAATCGATACACTTGGTCTCAATAACTTGTGATTAATTTTTTTTTTAAGTATACCTATGTACTTGTAAATGTCCCTCCTTGAATTTCTTTATGATCATTAATATTATTTTTTTTAAAATAAGACAGTGTGCCAGGAGTACAATGAGCATTTCAGGCCATGCTTTGCCACCTTCTCGGGTGGAGGAATGAGGAATCTTGCACGGCCTTCTGTCAATTTGTTATTTCCAAAAATTGTATTGAAAAAAATCACAAATTACCCGAGTTTGTATATTTTTAAGGTCACCCCAAACCCTCACAGCTGCAGAGGGAGTTTGTGAGGAGGCGGAAGGGGAACGTGTCTGGGGAAGGTTTGCAAAGTGACTGTCCTTTTCCTTATTTTTCTTTCTTTTTTTTTTTCTTAATCCAAAAATCAGTGTTTTGGACTACAAAAGGAATATTTTTCGTACGAAAGGAAACCCGCTCTAGCATTAGATCCCCCTTTGTTTCATCTCTCCACTCATGCCTTTAAATACTTTGCTTTTCCAAAGCGAAAGCCGCGTCGCTTTGGGGTCGGGCGCGTGTTTTTTGGGGTTGATGACTCGATGGGGCCTCGGTTCGTGTCCCCGAGGGACTGAGCCCCCCCCCAGCCCTGGGCACCCCCCGCCTCGATGCTTCCCGTTTTGCACATCGCCCTTTAGGAAAGAAACTCCATGAAAATAATGCAAAAACTGGAATTTTTTGCAATATTATGAAAGATAATCTTATTTTAGCTCATTCTGTGACATGTGCAACTCCTAAGAAAGCCATACTTAATGGTTCTTTTTATTTTGTAGATTCTATATTGTGTTTTGAATTTCTGCCTTTTTTTTTTTTTAAGTTCCGCATAGTAAGAGTGCTGTGTGTATGCTTTCATATATATTTATTTTTCAACGTGCTTTAAACCTGTCTACAAAAATAAAGCTAAACAAACACACACACACACAAAAAAAAAAAGGACAGTGTTTGAAGATACATCTAACCTCCAGAGGAAGGTATTATTGTATATGTTAAATAAAGGGCAAATCTCTTATTATGAATTGATCAAATTATCACAGTTGGCCGTCTGCGCCGCTCCTCTCCTCTCTTCTCACAGAGATTGAGTTATGCCAGGCTTTGACCTAAGTGAAACTGCTGACGGTCACAGGGATTTGACTAATCTCCTTAGGTCGCTGTGAAATTTGCGATTCCTTTTAGGGAATAGAATTATTTTATGATTTTTTTTTTTTTTTTTGCTGGGAATATTCTATATTATACTGACTTTATATTAATTATTATAAACCTGTGTTTGTATTGAAGACGTGTTTTAATATTTTTGGGGAGGTTGAGGAGATTTTAGTAACGGGAAGTCAGTGGGAGAACATGGCTGTGTTGTACTGATTTTTCTGTAAATGTAGTTCAGGTAAATATGACCTTATTTTCTAGTTGATCTCCCGGTTTCTCGTCTGCCTGGGCGTGCCGGAGGCGTGCCTCTTGATTATAATTACTTTGTGATGGGATTTAGCTTAGACATACTTGCAAAAATCAATCAGTTTCAATAAATTGGGAAATTGCTGCTATGTTTTTTGTCTTGGTATTTCTTGTTAATGTATTTTATATTTTTTTTTTTAATTTTTTCTCTCCTTGTGTGCGTCCACACGGGGTGATGCTGGGGCTGTGGGCACCCCCCAGCTGCAGCCCAGTGATGCTGCAGGACCCTGTTGTGTCCCCCCCCCTCCGGGTGCTGAGATGGGGCTGCTGTGGGTTCCCCACTCCCCAAAAATCCCCCCCTCACCCCATGGGGGGAGCCCAGCTCACCCCCCCCCCAGCCTGGGGGTGACACTGCTTTACCCATGCCCATCCCAAACAGGCACCTGTGGCACATCCTTCCCACCCCAGTGTGTCCGTGTTGGTGACATTTTCCTTAATTTTAGGGTTTTTCTGGGAAATTAAACTAATCCACCCAGCTCTTGGGAGGATGGCATCCCTGGGGGGGGGAACATGGGATGCGGGAGAGTGTGGGGGGAATGACAGCACCGTGTCTGGGGGTGCCCACCCTGTCTTAAAAGTTAAGTAAAGACCAGTAATAAGAATTAAAAAAAAAAAAAATCCAAATATTTATTCTTTTTTTTTTTCAATTCCTCTGGATCTGACACGTGAGGTCGGCGCCGCGTCGGGGACAAGCGGGGGCCCAGCCTGGCACAGCACCGGCCTGGCCCATGGGGCCAAAGCGGTCTGACCCCCTGCGAGGGGGGGGACAACCCTGCAACGGGGGGGTCCCTGATGCAAGGGGAACCCCTCCTGCAAGACGGGGTGGGGGGACCTGTCCTGGCACAGCCCTGGGTACAAGGCTGGGCAGGGTGACAGTGCCACCCCCCCCCAAACCCTGTTCCCACCCCCCCATCCTTGCATAGGGAGGGGGACACAGGCGAGTGACAGGACAAGGTGGGGGGGGGAAGTGTTTTTTTTGGGGAAAAAAAAGGGGGTTGGGAGGGGTAAAAGGGGTTTGAAGGGAATAAAGCCCCTTAAACCACCCCCCCCAGGGCTGGAGGCATCTCGCTGCTGCAGCCAGTGCGCTCTCATGCCCCGGGAGGGATTATTTTTAAAAAATACGAATTTTCATATATTTTATTTAAAAAAATAAAAAAAAAAAAAATAAAAACACCACACGAAGGAAAAAAAAAAAAAGGAAAA